CTAGAGACAAGCTGAAAACTTACGCTTCATTAATATTATTTGTTCTTGGTTTTACACATCATTTTAGTCATTTACACGGAAAGAAATTCAGCCTTAAGCAAATGCCAGAATACTATTGCAAACACAGCCTGATGGGGCATTAATTTATCTTGTCTTGTTTTTCTGCTCAAAGAAAGTAACACAACATAAGACTGCTGGTGAGTCAAAATTTTTTTTGCCTTGAAAATATGGAAATTAACTTTTTAGATTGTTGTGTAATTATAATACAACTAAAAAATGGCTGAGTTTTACATCCTGAGAAGCTCAGCAATAACATGACAAAGAAAATGAATAGTAGGCACATTCCTCTAAAAATTCAAGTGGATACAATTTCTGTAATCTTCATTATGACAAAATGTGAGACTATATATTCAGAATATACTGTCAGTAGTAATTTTGCACTTAATCTCTATTTTAGAGCCTGCAAATTCCTTAAGAAACTATAAGGAATTTTGTAAACTTTGAACTGAGAGAGAAAAAACTTGGTTCTAAATATGCAACCTTTTGTAACTTGCTCCCATCACTGCAGTATCTAGGATGGCCCAGGGTTTGATAATTTTAATGGCCCAAATTCTATTAGCAGGGAACGAATGGGGTTATTCACACATGACCTTTTTATTATTCAACAGTGAATCTACATTTAAAACATCAACATAAATACACTGTCTTCATACAGACTATTTTAATGAGAAAACTAATCCCAGCGACTTGCACTTTAAAGGTTGGCTGTTGGCTGTGGGTTTCAAATATTATACATGGAAAATATTATACATTTTCATGAATATACATGAAATATGTATCAAGACAGGCAGGCACAGCTCTTGTAAGGGCCATGAGATGTACATGGAGGTGATTTCTCAGGTGGATGGAGAATATGAATAATCAAGGCTGTGGTCTGGAACTCCTTGCTTGTCTCTGGATGGGATGTTTTGAGAGAGCAAGGTGCCACCCTACCTGACATCAGCAGAAATTAAAAACTCTGTATTTACATAATTTGTTATGTAATGCCTATTTTTGAACTAATGATCCAACGCCAGTATGAGTTAAAGTGTATAGAGATTAAAACAAAATGACTAATGGAAGACACTAATGAGCTTAGGCTCGAGCTACCTGCATTACACTTGGTAACTCAACAAATTCTTATCTATCTCTACACCTTATTTTTTTCTTATGGTAATCTCTTTCACCATGCTTCTGAAGGAGCAATTTATATTTATAAATTTTATCAATTTACACATATTTCTCTGGAGATAATGTCAAGTCATGTGAAACAATACCCTATAAATATTATATGCATTTGACTCCATGAGGAGTTTATTTTATTTTCAAATTGAGGAATGCTTTCATAATCACATACTTGAGAAAACATATCACCTGCTCCTAGGAGGTAGAAGTATATTATTTTGAATCATGACACATTTTAACCACTTCACTTCTGTAGTCAGGAATCAATTTATAGCTATAACAATTTCATCAGTTTCAGCTACATTACAGTTATTTTCTGGATGAGAAAAGTTTATATGACTTTATTAAAGCGGAACTGCAAAGGGACTTCTAATGGATAAATAATATGGATGGGTAATTTATGGAGAAATAATATTTTTATGCTAAAAGCAATCTCAAATGTTTGCTGTTTAATTACATGTACCATTAGGATGGCTCTTTTGCAATAGCTATGTGACAATTCATTAACAGAGCTCCCACAGACAGCACATGACAAATTAGTACTAGTTGCTTATGAAAGCTTCTGATTAAGAGAGCAATGAAAAATTATAAGTATTTTGTTGCCAATCAAGACATCACATAAAAGTGATTTAACTAATGCAGTTAAACAACTAGGCTTTATAGTAATCTTCAATCTTTCAGTTCTGTGCAAATTTAGGATTATCTACGTTTTTGTTGCCCGTCTTTGTCCCTCCCAGTATTACCCTGGAACACTGGTCACCTTCTGAGATCACATTTGTCATGAATCTGGAGAAAGTAAAGTAACAAAGGACACTTCAACAGTGCCTTTCCTCTGCTGCTCTCACACCTAGCTGGCAGGATCCTGTTTTTTTCAGACAATTCTAATTTCATTTGATTTCTCAAATTAGCATTTAGAAGAGAAGGAGTTTAATTGGAATATAATACCAGGATTTTTCCAAGTGTGTGACTATCCTGTAGGTCTGTATGTGATTAGAAATGTGCCAAGAGCAGGGAGAATTTTCTTGAAGTTAAAAAGGTACAATTAATCTCCTGTTGCACTTCCAATTAGCCAAATTGCCAACCTTATTGTGAAAAGCAGAAATGCAATCGAGTTTCTGCTTGAGGCGTACTAAAGGAAAACTGAAGTAATTTAATTAACTGGCTTCAAGTACATTAAGAAGCACACTGCCTTTACTTTCTGCTGTCAATGCCTTTAAATAGATTATTGTTTAATGTGAGTCTCTGTACCCACGTAAAGCTGAAGCTTTGAATTGTCTGCTGTCATCCCCTGAGCTGAGCTATTAGAAAGAAAAGACCATGATGATTAGAGGGATGGAGCATCTCTGCTACAAGGAAAGGCTGAGAGAATTGGGATTCTTCAGCCTGGAAAACAAAAGGATTAAGGGTGACCTAATTGTGTACTTCCAGTACCTGAAGGGAACCTACAAGAAAGCTGGAAAGGGACTTTTAAACAAGGGCATGTACTGACAGGACAATGGAGAATGGATGAAAAGATTAGATATGGGGAAAAATATCCTCCCTGTGAGGGTGGTGAGGCACTGACACATGACTACCATAAAAGCTGTAGATGCCCTATTCCTGGAAGTGTCCAAGGACAGGCTGGAAGCTTTTTGCAACCTGGTCTAGAGGAAGGTGTCCCTGGCCATGGCAGGGTCCTTTGAACAAGATGAGCTTTAAAGTCCCTTCCAACCCAAACAATTCTGTGGTTCTATGATAAATAAAAGGCTGCATTTAGCAGCTGAAGAACTGCTCCTGCTGTCACCATCACACATGCAGGTGCTCATCCTCAGTGGCCAGAGAGTAGACATGTGTGAGCCGAAGCATCCTACGTAACACTCACCATGGAAGAGGGAAAATAAAAAATGGCAATCCCCAAATTGTGTCTCCTCAAACAATCAGACCAGAATACAGACAGCAGTGTATACACAGAACATAAAAAAAATATTAAACAGTGTAATTAAAGATGAAAAAGTTGTGGACGTGTTTATTAGACTAGAAAAGTTCATGTTCCCTTTTTTTTTCTCAAGACGTGTTGTATGACAAGGTGATAGGAGGTCATAAACTGATATGTGACACATTAAAATTGAAGCATAAACTGTTTTTTCTCCTTGTAAGAATATCAGACTGCTCTTCTGATATAGTTTTTCAGTGATATACTAGTTGAAACAGATCAAAAAGTCATGTTTTCCTGATGTATTACACTCCACGGGAGTGTTGAATCATTCAGGATCCAGTCACCTCATGTGCAAGGACATAACTCTGCCTCTTAACACAGAATCACCAATGAGAAACAGAATTACTTATAATCAAACCAGAAATCCACTTGGGCCAGTGCTGAATTATGTGAGGAACTGGCATTTCAGTCTGAAAATGTATTCAACATTCTGTTTAAAATAGTAGGATTTGCAAATTAACCCTCAGAGCCAAGTGCCATCAGTGCTTCAATAATGTGTTTTCTACTCAGATTCCTGGACTGTCATTTTGTGTCCAGTTCACGCAGGAACTTTAATTCTTTAAGATTAATGTAGTCATAACCAAAATTTCATAAATGTAAGCTAAATACTGGGAATTTTCATTATTTTTGGCCAAAAATTTCTAAGACTGCTCTTGAACCTTCAGAGGCTCTGCTGCATTTCCATGTCAAGCTTGAAGCGCTGACAACAAATACAAATGATTTTAAAAGGATAATACTTGCTGAGATGAAAAGGATGCTTAGATGGTTTTAATTACTGAATTTGTGCACACAGTAATTACCTATACATGGTGTACATGATTTTCCTGCTAAGAAAGAGTCAACAAATAAAGTACTGAGATGCTGTGTGTATTTCTTCCCATGTGCTGCAATTTTCATATTTTACTGCAGAAGAATAAACCAAAGATGTTTCCCATTTCAGCAATCCTGCATACACAACAATTTAGGGAGCTATAGTATTGACTGTAACAACTCTGCACTGAGTGGCTATCAAATTAACAAAAACTGAACAAAAATATAAATCAACTCTTGCTGTAGTGTAATTAAAATAAAATCTGATTTACCATGTACTTTAATGCAAAGAGAAATGAAATACAGATCGTGTTTTTTGTATACTACTTTCCACTCTCTCCATAATTAAATATTATTAAATAAATGAGTACATTTCTACCATCATTCAGGTATTGTCTTTACTACCAACTATGACTCACAGATCAGACCAGCACTGTGAATTAAAAGAGATTCATCTTCCTTCCTGCGAGGGCACTGCCACACCCTGCTGAAAAATCCCATTTTTAAACAGCTCGTCAGTAATAACAGCCAAGGAATGAGAGGAGAATTGATTCAAAGGCAAGTGAAACAGGAGGATCAGAGATAAAAATGGATTATTTGGTTTAAAGAGGGTAAAGATTCATAGCCAACCATAAATGCTTTGTTTCGTGCTCTTGATGAACTGGTTTCATTGTACTGGGAAAGACACCCCTGAGGACTGAATGGTCTGTAGAGCTGATTTCTCCTGAGTTTTGAGGTCTCTGGACCACAGGTTGCACCAATGAAAGAAGCATCATTTCATATAATATATTCCAGGTACTCCTGCTCCCCCCTGCATATATGCTGCTTTGCTTTAATTCCTGAGACATATTCACATACACTCTAAATATCACACCCGCTTCCACTTTCCATAAAATTAAGATAAAAGTTGCACCCTTATAACTACCATATGTTAAATGTGGTCATACTCAACGTCCTCATCAGACAATGACAGGAGTGGCTCAGGACGTACGTTGATGTCCTCGAGGTCGAGGAAGTTGAGGACGACACCATTGCGTTTCCAAATGATGGGAGGTCGCAGCGCCCCACGGATGCTGCAGGTCAGGACGGTGCTGAGGCCAACAGTGATGGTGGTCACAGTGACCCTCTGGTCCTCTGGCAGGCTCAGCTGAACCACCTCTGCAGGGGCAAAACAACAGGGATAACATCAAATACCACACAGGGGAGCTGCTCCTCTTCTCCCCTCTCTGACTTCCTTTCTCATTCTGGGAATAACTTTGGAGGATTTTGCAAGGATATGTGCTACCTACACTGTACAAAAAAACAAAACAATAAAGCCAAGTAAAAGACAAATTGAATCTGTCTCAATCAAACTCTCTGTATGCCTTTCCTGACACAGCTGTGGCATGAGGGCACTAAGATGGTCAGCTGGCCAGCCTGGCTGCAGTAGTTTATACAAAGCAGTCAACAACAGGAGGATAAAGGCTCTCTTGGCTTGAGATCATCTGGGGCTTGCTTCTCTAGAATACTCCTCTCAAAGTCCCTTGAAAAGGCAAAAGAAGGAGTTGTGTTTGTTCCTTGAATAAGAATAATTAAGGTCAGACTGCTGCCACTGAAATATAGATAAACCTAGTTTCAAATTGCCCAAACACTGGAAGTCACCAAGCATGTAAACTTGTTTACCAATCACAGCCACATATGGCATCTGAGCTACAGATGTCCTAAAAATTAAAAGCTTTCTAATATTTTATTTAAATAAAACCCCAGTTATTTTGACTTAGGTGTGCCACACAAAAGAAACTCCTGAGGCAGCAGACCTTAGGTAAACCCTCACCACCAGCTCTCTGAAACCACACTATGGCACGTCGTTTCCTTCTGGCCAATGACATGAGATATGGCTGCATCTTTGGCATGTGTGGTCACACAGAAAGGTCAGACCTGATTCCAGAACCACCCTGGGTGCAGGTTGCCATTATGGAGCATTTTGGCAGCAGTGAGACAGTGACTGGGCAGTCAGGCCACATTGTCCAAGCTCCTGTAGCCATAGCTTTGTAATTCACATGATGGCTTTTGCTTTCCCTCATTTCCAAGCTCTGCAATAAGAAAACTATATTGCATGTAAATGATGAGAATTGGTCTTTGAAGGTAATGAATGGCCCATTGAGAGGAACAGGGAATGTTCACAGCTGGTGTTATTTTGCTTCAGCCAACTTCAAAACCTGGGCTGGGGAATGAAACAGCCTCTCCCAGCACCAAGTCTCCTCCTTTCTCATGTCCACTGGCAACAACAGCAACAAAACGCAGATGAAAGAGACTGATGCTGCCTCACCCAAGGTACACCTCAAGTGCTTTGGGAAAAACTACTTCAAGCAGTGCTGACACTGTAAAATGCCATACAAGGGTCAGGTTACTTTGTCCCATCAACTGCTGAAGTTACTCTTCATCCTGTCCATCTACCTCACAACTCTGTCATTACATCCCACACAAGATCTGAATGTCACTTGCATGGAATAAAAATGAAAAAAAAACCAGTATCGACATTTGCAAGCACAATTTTCCACCTTTTCACATCTGTCACTAAAATAGTCTATTTAAGTAGCCTTGGGCAGCCTGGGCAGACTCAGTGCCCTGGTATAGCAACTGATTGTGAAGAATTAGTGCAAAATCTGCTTGTGAAAACATACTCCAACAGCTCAGCACTCCTTCTCTTCTGCTTCTTCCACCTAAGTGAGAAGCTAATGTGTCACAAAATGTATTCACCACTGTGGATCTGAGGCTGACTTGGGCTGCAGGGTCCATACAGCATTGGTGCATCTGCCAGCAGTGAGCATTTCTCCCACTTAAAACTCCCAGTGCTATTTCAGGAAGAGTATAAGCTGTTTTAATATATAGTTTTGATAAATGGTTGATCAAAATTAGGAATGTTTGACCAATATAGTGCTACTATTTGTGTTGTGGTGGGTCTCAGAGGCATTACATGAGAAGACTGACACATCTGACCATCAAACCTTAAAAATCAAAAGGGGAGATGAAGGAATATTGGGAAGGAGAATGTTACCCATTCAAGATCAATGAGCAGGTTAGCAACTAAGCTGGGAAGACCTAACACATGACTCAATCACACTGCCTTCAGGTACCTGCTGGAAGAAATCAGGGATGTGGCAACTCAGGGGCAGTGGGCCAGGCTAGGAATTGAGATGTCCCAAGGAAACACTGAATGGTTTGGGTTGGAATGGACATTAATGACCATCTTTGCAATCCCTGCCATGGGCAGGGACAGGACTTTTCACTAGACCAGGTTGCTCCAAGCCCCATCCAGCCTGGCCTTGAACACTTCCAGGGATGGAGAGTCCATCCCACTACCCTCATCCAGCTGCCTGAAGCAGCACATAGTGGCTAATAATGTAGTTATTTTCTACATAATGAAGAGCTTCTTTTAATGAAAAAATATTTGGAGTGCACTTGACAGGATAAAGAACTGATAATCACAGTAATTTGTAGCATGCAGCAGGGCTAATGAGGACATCTCTTCTTGAGGAGAAATGAAATAGAGGGCCATTCATTTACAAGAGAATTGTTTTTTCATCTTACTGCTGTTTTTCTTAATTCCCTCTGCTGTTTTTCATGATGTCTTGAGTTCCCTGGCTCATGCTGGGCTTCCATAAGCTCCTTCTTCAGCAACATTTTTTCAGTGGTCTCTTGCAGTGGAATTTAAGGCTTTCTGCCCATCTTACAAACAATTGCTAAAGATACTTCAGCTTTTTCTTTTTAGAAGCACAGTATTGAAAAATGCATTAACTTTTAATTAAGAAGACACCTTGCATAGCTGCCACTCTTGGATGAACCATATGAGGCCAATATATCAGTTTTTTTATGTTAAAGCACGTAATTAGCACATACCACTTTAACAATACAAACACACACCTTTTTAGAGTATTTCTATGGAGTATATTTGACAGCATCTTATTACCAGTACATTTGAGGTACCCTTATTAACATCTAAAAGCCTTTCTACTAATACAGAATTATTTTGTGTGGTTTCAGTTATTGCTTTTTTGTTTTCAACAGAAAAGATAGCAGGTGTATTGGGGATGCCCTAAAATGATGTGAGGGCTGAGCTTTTTAAAACTCTTTTAAAAGACTCAATATTGTATTAAGTTATGGAACCTAGACACTGCTGCTGTTGGTTTATGTGTAAAAATTATTCAAGTCACCATAATGATTTTGTGTAGAGCTTCTAGATTAAGTATTGAACACTGTTCATTTTATTTTTCAAAACCTTTAGGAGATAAAAGGATTTTTACAATGGGTATAAAACTGAACAGAACAAATAGGCAATATTCAAGGGGTGCTCATTTGCAGAAGAACCCAAGCTGGAATGGAATTTGGTCCTAAAATCAAGCAATGTTATGTTAATTTGGAAATCCTACAGGATGATGCATGCAAACCATTTTTCTACATTCCACAGGTTCAAACAGTTCAATCAATCCTTGCTGACCACAGTTATCAAATTGTGTCAAATCTGATACTCTTCTATGGGATTTCAGCTGAACTACCTCCTCAGCTTATTCCAGTTGGTAAGAAGTTCCTGCCAGCTATTCTGCCATCAGAGAGATGTATTATCATCAGAGAATGGGATGCTATCATTCTTCACTCAGCTTTTAATGGTTCCAGACAGGGTAAAACCTTTGTAAAAAAATTCTTTAAAAATGATTTGGTGTAAGCATGTGCCTGTGCATCAGAGGACCAGGACTAATCCCTGATCACGCAGATGAAAGACACCAAATGTGGAACAAAATCAAGGTCAGTGAAAGGCAACCAGGACACCACAAACTCTCCACTGGTGATGGTAGCAGCCTGAATACTGTGTGGTTCAGGAATTAGGGCAGTGCCATCTTCAGACCCATCTGCCTTATTCAGGAGGGTAAGGGATCCCTCCCTGTGTGCTGAGGGTTAGTGCTAAGGGGTTTATTCAGGGAAGGGACCATTCTTGTCCAGTCTCTTCCACCTTTCCTGCCTGGTATGATATTCAGCCTGATGCACTGAGCACCTTTAGTGACCCAGCTGTCACCATCTTGATGTTCTTATATTAAATTTCTTGCAGTACTAGGTCCCACAGTGACATGCAAGAATGTAAAATCTTAGTAATTCTTTTCCTTGTAAAAAAGTGTCAAGATATTGCTGAACATTTTCCTTTGTCCCTCCTCCTCTCCAGTGTTATTTAAGATGCTAAGCTGGAGTTACACTGCACCTTCACAAGCTCTGCATACTAATGCAGCAGATATTACCTGTTGTGCTGGTTTATCATGGAGGTCTTTTTCTCTGCTGTCATTTGCAGCCCACCAAAGGCAATCATAATTTCACAATGAAGACATGTATAATTGAGGTCATTACAGGGAGCAACCTGGAACGAACATCTATGGAGAAAACCTCATTGATGTAGCGTGGCATGGAGATAATTTACACAGCGATGTTGGGCACCTGCCTTTGCTCATGCTGCACTACCTACAGAAACACATTTCACACTTTAAATAATGCTTAATGCTTAATTTAATTAATTAGATCTCTTCCCTTAAATCTAAAGAAAATGCACATTTTAATGCATAGTTGCCACCTTTAATCATTGCTGTAGGTGTTCATGGATATCTTGCCTTGCTGAAACAGAATAGCAGAATGGTTTGGGTTGGAAGATCATCTCACTCCAATCCCTTGCTGTGGTCAGGGACACATTCCACTAGACCAGGTTGCTCATTGCCCCATTCAGCCTGGTCTGGAACATTTCCAGGGATGGGACATCCACATCCTTCTATGGGAATCCTGTGCCAGGGCCTAACCACCCTCACAGGGAAGAATTTCCCCATAATATTTAATCTACTCTTGTTCTATTGCTTAGATCCTGCTTATGACACAAGGCAATACTTTTGAAATTATGTAACTCATCCTCAGAAGGGAGACAATGAGCCAAAACAGCCTTGTTTGATGTTCAACAGAAGAATGACTTTCAAAGAAAGTCTCCAGCACCGAATCTTGCCCCCAAATTAACGCAGAGAGACCTGTTGTTTGTGAAGTGAAGCATGGGTAACACAGCCCTAAATACATTGTGTTTCTCCAGCAATGGTTCAAATCAGGGATGATTTAATGGGATGGAAACTTTAGTGTCTACTTAATTCCCCAAGTTT